ATTTATTCAATAAATCGCCATGGCCACCAGAAGACTTCGGAATCTCCTGAAACTCTTCTGGAGGGTTTCCTTGTTTAAGTTGGTGAATCCTACCATAATCCTTGCCTTCAGTTCATCCATTTACCAAGATACTTGAAGTATTTAGAATTTACTAATTTTACATTTCGGATTTTTATTAACTATTTAAGGTACGCACTCTCACTGTTTTCATTTTAATATATCTGTTTAATTGACATATTTCTTGTGAGTACATATATAATAATATATATTTGTTGAAATTACACGCATATATACCTGTACAAATGAAGTCTGTTTGAAAGCAAAACGTGTGAAAAGATTTGCTCATATGCCGACAATATTAATTACAGATATGTGCAGTAACAGAATCATTATTCCTACATAGACGCCACCTCTAGACTTGCTTACTCTTTCCACTCAAATAAAGCCTATTTGTGGTCTTCGTTTTGTCTATTTTAAGATTATACACTTCTCACGCTCCTATATTGGGGTCCCTGTCGTCATAGTTATTTCTAGCCATGAATAATTTATCTCGTTATATAAAGGACTGTCCAACTTTTGCACAAATCATTCTTCTCTTTTTCACCGACAAACTCTTTTCTGATCAGTTCCAACAATCCAGCAAGAATGAAATTATTCTTGATCCTATGTTTTGCAGCAACAGCAGCCTGGGCAGAGAAAAATGATTCTGCACCAGTGGCGCATTCCCTTTTCCCAGAATTCCGTATGTATTTTCTCATTTCATTTCCTTTGCCGTAATCCTCCTTTCATTTCATTTCCTTTGCAGCAATCCTCCTTTTTTATATGCAATATCCTTTCAGGGTGTAAATGATCATGGCTCTCTACAGCTTCTACTCATTTGCTGTTCTAAGTAACTTTTAACAATTTACAGTTTTTTGTTCTTGTTCTGTCACCCATTCACGCAAAACTTAGGTTATTAGTTCTACTTGTGATCATTATGCCCTGAGAGTCTTAGATTACACATATATTTCGCATTTAAATGATAGCAAACGATTTGCATATCTATGACCCAATTCCAAGTCATCCAATGTAAATGCTTCTTTTAGATGTGATTTTGTATAGCTTTTAAAATCGTTTCACTCAAAGCAAGGCAACAAAGCCACTAAGACGCAGGGTTTATGAAAGAATATGAGAAGAAGAAAAAACACAGTTAAGGAGAAAACAATAAATAAATACATAGTACGAGTACCAGACCAAATGTGGCTGAATTATTCAAAGCCTGGTCGAACTGATAGACTTAGTAATATGCGAGAAAAAAAAATCTAGTGAGAAAGATCGTCTAGAACGACAAGCCGGTGAGAAATTTAAAAACTTCAATAGATATCTAGAGCAATAAATATTGTATAAAAAATATGAGAAGTTCAGCATACTTACCAAAGTTTCGCGATATTTCATACCTGGACCCTGATGAACGAAACATCACTATACTTTGATGCGGCTATCGATAGGTATAATGTAATTTCCATATTATTGACACAAGATAGATAGATATATAGATAGATAGATAGATAGATATAAAACGCCAGAACTTATCTATTTTACCTAACGGATCATCAGGATAATTCTGATTCTGAGGAAGAAACCTAGGCAGACAGGTTCCGGCTCTTTATGCATTCTAATTTTGCTCTACTTAGTGTATCAACTTAGGTAACACTGTCGGTGTTTTGCTTTTGTTTTTTGGTTGTTGTTTTTTGGCTAGACATTACGGTGCTGATTGGTTATTTTCACGCAGTACGGATTATTTGTATTTTTTCCCAAATATCAGTTTGTGTAATTTTTTTATTTACAAAAAAAAAAAAAAACGAACACATACATACATACACAATTAAATGTGCGTGCATTTTCTATACACATAGACACCATTTAATTGTGTATGTATGAATGTGTTCGTTTTATTTTTTGTGTTTTTGTTGTTGTTTTTTTGTTTTTTTTATAAAGTGTAGTGGAGATGTTTCCTGCCTCGTCACTCTTTTCCCTTTTTTTTTTTTGTGCGTGTATATATCTAAATATGCCTGGCTGCTTATGTATTATAATCTGAGTGTCTTCGTATTGTTTTACGCGAGAGGGTAGCACCCCACTCACACACTTAGGATTAAAATGTATACATTTTGTCGGGGAAACCAGCAGATATTAGCGTCAATTCTAACTTAATTTCAATGAAGAAATAAATTGAATAACATATGTATTTTTTCTTTTCTCCTCAGTAATTTTATAATTTTAAACTTAATAGAGATTAAATTTAAATTTTAAAATTGGTAATTTTTTACTTTTAATTTTAATATCAAATTTTATCATATAATTTAATAATTATTGGCTAAAATAAATTCTATTTTAGTATAACCTCAACTTTAAATCTCTTAATAGCTATTATAACCTTACTTCGTTGTCAAGCTTTTTGAATTCTCCTATACTTGTGTTTTGATTGGTCATTCCAGCTTTTGTAACAGCGTTTTCCCCTTGCGAAGGATCGTTGATTAATTTGAAACTTTTTAAACCATTTATTTTACATTCAACATCATCACTTGATAAGACACCGGATGTGTTGAAACAAAATGGGTATTTTTGTAGTGACTTTATAACATATTTATGTTATAATTTTTCAATAACTAATTATATCTGCTCTACTCTGTATTGAGCATTCTTTTAAGAATAGTAATTGTTGGTTGCTGGAATTTATTCCGTATACACCAATCATATACATGTATATATATATATATATATATATATATATATATATAATATTTTTGTTATATTTTTCCTACATAAAACAAATATAATAGAAATAAAACAAATGAATATAACAAAGTAAAAATGTTTTATGGACATAAAATATCTGACTTGAATAAAAAAGAACACTTTTATATATATAAGAAACTGAATATATATATATATATATATATATATATATATATATATATATATATATATATATATATATATATATAATTTTGCTCTGTCTCTGACATAGAGGTCTCCTGGTTTATATCCTCTTGGAAATTTCATACGGATTACCATTTATTTTTTATATATATATATATATATATGTGTGTGTGTGTGTGTGTGTGTGTGTGTGTGTGTGTGTGTGTGTGTGTGTGTGTGTGTGTGTGTGTTTTTTTATCTAATATGATGCAAGTTGTTGAAATGACATAATGTCATCAATTTTATTTTATTTTTTAATTTTAAATTCTGAATTTTTTTCTTTTTTTTTTTCTTTTTGCAGCTCCTTTTTTCCCTCCTGCACCTCATCGTAAGTAAAATCTATTTATTCTAGAAAGGAAAGCAGTATCCCATCTGTAACATTTAACAGAAACATTTTTGTAACTATTTCACAAGTTCATATTCATATTTAATTTCATTTTCTCGAATATTCTGGCGAGGAGACGAAAATAATTTTATTGAACGTCTACTAAAATACACGTGTTCACTAAAAATAGCAATCTCATATATAGGGAGAGAACCATTATTATTTATAAGTTCACATGTCCCCTAAGGAACTCCCTTTCTGATCAAACCAAATGAATGAATATTTATATACGAAAAAGGCCATAGTGTGCTGACCGTATTTGAAAAACATGCATCACCAACAACATATGTACACTATAGTTCAAAGTTTAAGGAAACCCCTGGTAATTTTTTAAATTGTCCGAAAAGCAGTTCTTTTATACTTTAAACAAGAGAAAATTATTATTCATGGTGAAAAAAGTGACATGATTTTTATTAGAAATTGCATTATGACATAAAGAAAAAAAAAGAATTTTATGATTAAATTTTATTTTCGTCCTCCTTTGGCGTTGATTACTACAGCACAAAAGTTTGGCATTCATTGCAAAAGTTTTTCAAAGTATAAGTTTGATAATTGATTCCATTTTTTTTTTTGTTTTTTTTGTGTGTTTTTTTTCAATGACTCTAAGAGCTCTTTTTCATTTTTGAAATTGTCCAGTATTCACGACCAGAGATCTAAAAAATATTAATTTTATGAGTGGATCAAATAAAAAGAAATATGCAATCCTTAAAACTTACTGTATTAGCACCACCCTTTTATCATCTGATATAGAACCACCCGCCATCGCTCATTTTTTTTTGTGATGTTGTGCCTGATATAAGCATTACAAAAAATTAAAGTTTTGACATAAATTGTAATAAACTTTACCAGTGATATGAAATTAAAGTCATTCGTATGAAAATTATTTGTAATGCATTACTATAGAAAAATTTTTATAAAATACTAGCAGTAGAGCCCGGCGTTGCCCGGGGATGTAACAGTAAGAGATAGATAAAGTATCGACCATCATAAAGACTGAAAAATAAAATTGACAAAGATTATTGTTTAAGGTTGACGGACACGCATGTCCTAATTAGTTTTTTTTTTGTTTTGTTTTTTGACGAATTGGTCAAACCCAAACTCAACCAAAAACATTGTTTTCAATCGTTATGAGTCTACCGATTGAATAGAATTTTATTATAAACAATTGTCTAGTAAATTTTTAAAGCATTCATAAAGAAAAAGGTGTGCAAGACAATAAGAAACACTACCTGCCAAAAAAAAGTGAAGTTTTATTGAAATCGGTTGAAAAATGTAGGAAATCCGATCCCATATATAAACGAACACACACACACACACAACCTGGGTTTTTATAATAAGTATAACTCGATATGAGTTGTCCCCCTTTCATTCTCGACAGCGATGCCTCTTAATCGTGTTTTCAAATTGCTTTTGTGCAAAAACAATTGTGTTTTTCCAATTTTTGGCGCTGTCAGAACCACCGCAAGGTAATTTTACGTAGTCCTGTGAAGTTTTGTTGAAATCGGTTGAAAAATGTAGGAAATCCGATCCAATATATAAACGTACAGACACACACACACACACACAACCTGGGTTTTATAAGTATGATTTTGCAATGTATTCTTACAGATAACAATTTCTCAATCAATTCCTATCACTCATTTGAATAACGGAAGCTTATGGCCACATCACGCTGAAACACCAGTTTCCGTACGGTCACCGAAGTTAAGCAATGTCAAGCCTGCTCAGTACCTACATGGGTGACCGCTTGGGAATATTAGGTGTAGTAAGCTTAGATGTCCAGTTGATGTAATGTCTCTCAATTGTTAATCAGAGAGCCGATTTCCAATACCTGTTGGTATCGTTATATTCATTTACGCTCAAATGCCCTTAGGAAAGGCATGAACTTGCCTCATCTCCCCCAGCTATGGGCTAATTAGTAAGACTTGTATCACTAAAAGCATTATTATTTTTTTTTTAATTCTTGCAATCTAAAAATAAGGCATGTACCCGCCTTCTCCCCACCAGCTATGGGTCAATTAGTAAGACTTGTATCACTAAAAGCATTATTATTTTTTTTAAATTCTTGCAATCTAAAAATATTTTCTGGCCTTATATAATCTGCAAAACCGTAGAATAAGAATCACTCAATAAATAATTAGAATAACGAAATTTGTTCCCACATTTGTTTAATGAGCGCACGAATCATTACAACAACACAAGATTTTCCTGTTTGTATTTTGAAGGCCTGGTTTTTTTTGTTATTTTTTTGTTTTGTTTTGTTTTTTTTTTTTTGTTTTTTTGAAGGCCTTATTTTTACTTGTATTTTGAAGTCCTGTGAAAATGACTTCGTCTGAGCATCTCTCATTGAATTAGTGATAATCATCGTTTTCTTTTTTCATTTTCTATTTTCAGCTCATCCTCCTCATCCTCCACCAGTCTTTCCTGCAGGTAAGCAAATTCATTTTTTAGATGAACTATCCACAATATTAGTAAATAGATGTGTAGTATCGTAGGCATGCGCTTATCCAGTGAGTTAAAGGTAGCGTCCTGTTTGGTCATTCGATGGTGAGACGACAGCACCTCCTCGGCTCCGCTCAGAACACATGGACTCCACATTCGGTTGTAACGACAAGATCCAAAGGAATATAGGACCGGATTGAATGCAGAAGCTTCTGGAAGCTTGTCGATGTAGACAGCAAACTGACTTCAGCGCTCCATTCTGTAATTTCTGTCAAGATCTAATGCCATAGATTTTTTCGTACTTGGATGACAGCAGGGATTTAAAATACGGCTCTTCTTTACCTTATATCAACTGCCTTCCAGGGGCCGACGAGCTCCATCTAACCGAAGCAACTGGTTCTGAGGTGCCCTTGGCCCGCCTTTGTCTCTTGTAAGGCTTGATGATCGACTTAATTTTCAGAAGCTATATGAGACGTATGCAATGATAGCATTTCATAGAGAGTCGGTTCTTGTCCCGGCTCCCAACTCCTGACTATGACAACCTTTGGAACATATATATAATGTATTTATATAAACATTATATACATTATTTGTTTTAGAATGAATATGATAATATATATTAGTTAGTCATTAGAAAAATAATTTTCTTTAAACAAAATCATCATTAGGTAGACAAAACGGGATTCACTTAATGTTGTGAAATGTTTGATTTTTAATTAACTGCATCGTTTTAGAAATCAGATTAATTTTAATCTCGACTCAATTTTAATTACATTTTTTTTAAATCTATTTTAACGTTTACAAATCCTTTATTGTCTCGGCATTAATTTAGTAATAACAGGTGATAAACTCAAATAGCCTAATCCTATATTAATTGTAGACGATTAATATTTTCACTGCATCAAAAGTTGAGAAAATAATAATATTTTTTTTATTTAAACGGCATTTTCTGGTACAAAATTTCAATCATCAAAGTTCTGGTGGTTAAATAAACTTTAAAATAAATCAAGGCCATTCATCGCAGTTTGCTTCGTATTCCATTAGTAAGGACGAAGTTCCATTCGGAGAACTTCTTCCCAAGAGATGCTACTTTACGGAACAGACTCCTGGAAGGATGTTTTCTCAATCACTACAATTTTGACTTCTTTACATCTAAGGTTAAATGCTATCTTTCCTGCATAGCCCCATGAACTTCACTTCTTGTTCTTTCTTACGCTCATACAATACTAAGCAGTAAAGCTCTACATTGAGTGGCTCTTGAGATATGTATTGGATGAACATTACTATGATGATTTACAGCAACACCACATTGAAATTCCGGTTCCTGTACGATCACCGAAGTTAAGTAACGTCGAACCTGGTCAGTACCTAGTTGGGTGACTGCTTGTGAATAGAAGGTGCTGTCAGTTTGGTGGTGCAATGGATAAATGCTCCGAATTGTTAATCAGGGAGCAAAGTTCCAATTCCAGTAGAGTTCACTTACCAGTAAAGACCCTTTGGAAAGGTATAAATTCACCCATTTTCCTTCCAGCTGTGTTAATTAGTAAAATTTGTATCCTTAAACCGATATTATCTCCCCAAAAATACTTGTTGATAAGTCGTGGAAATCGAATCAGTCAATATTAGTATAAAATAAATAACTAAACAGAAATAAAAACTCTTATTTATTAAATACTATCAGTAGAGCCCAGCGTTGCCCGGGGATGTAAGAGTAAGAGATAGATCAAGTATCGACCATCATAAAGACTGAAAAATAAAATTGACAAAGATTATTGTTTAACGTTGACGGACACGCATGTCTTAATTAGTTAATAAAAAAAAAGTGTGCAAGACAATAAGAAACACTACCTGCCAAAAAAAAGTGAAGTTTTGTTGAAATCGGTTGAAAAATGTAGGAAATCCGATCCCATATATAAACGAACACACACACACACACACAAACAACCTGGGTTTTATAATAAGTATAACTCGATATGAGTTGTCCCTCTTTCATTCTCGACAGCGATGCCTCTTAATCGTGTTTTCAAATTGATTTCTGGCAAAAACAACTGTGTTTTTCCAATTATGGGCGCTGTCAGAACCATCGCAAGGTAATTTTACGCAGTCCTGTGAAGTTTTGTTGAAATCGGTTGAAAAATGTAGAAAATCCGATCCAATATATAAATGAAACACACACACACACACACACACACACACACACACACACAACCTGGGTTTTATAATAAGTATGATTCACCATTCCTATTTGCCGTTCGGCTAACAACTGAACCATTTGTTTACGTAACAGGTTAATATTTTTTTCTATTTATTTATTTCTTCATTTTTATTATTCTTTTTCATTCCCTTTTTTTTTTTCAGTTAAGCTCGGTGTATGTCCAGCTTCTGGGCCAGGATTCTTTCCGTGGTTTTGTGGCTTCAGTTGTACATCTGATACGCAATGTCCATACGGTATGTCTTTTACAACTGCTTTTATTCGACTGCAAAAATAATTTACATCCTCGACTGATGCTATATGAATGACTGCTCAAAGATTCTTTCTTTCACTCATCCATGATTCCAATACGATTATGCTTTTTCAAAATTGTCTTCAATTTTCTGTCAACAACTCTACAAGCTACTTGATACTTCAACGGCTGAGTAAGAGAATGATACCCTTTGCATATTATAATACTGGTTATTAAAAATCTGTTTTTTGTTGTTTGTTTTTTTCTTGAGGCTGTGTTGAAATATGTGCTAATTTCGTCGGAAAAGTTAAAATAGTGGTATTTCTTGAAGAATATTTTATTGAGAAAACAATAGATAGTTCTTCTAGTTTATTTAAAGAATTTGCAATAAGTTTACTTCAAGCTATTTAAATGTCGTTAAAATATACCACTCGTAAAAATATTCAAGACGTTTTCGGGCTAGGTAGAGGGCGGCTACGTCCTAGAGAGCCCCATCATTTGACTGGGTTAGGCACCCTAGAAGGTCATAACCCGACCCTGCTTCTGTCGGTCCCCTATAATTTATGTATTTCGTGTATGAAATAATATGTGCATATAATATAACAACTAGTATGAAAATGAAATAAAATCAATTTACCAACATTTCTTTTCTCACTGATATGTAAATCTATTGAATTCTTACAGATCAAAAATGCTGCTGGAGTGGAGGATGCCGCAGATGTGTAAGTCCACTTCCTTGTAAGTAAAATGTTCCTTCACTTTCTTACGGGTAGAGTGACGGTTATCGACGAAGTAGTAAAATCCGCGTGCAGAGTTCAAATTCCGAACTAGTCTGTTGCGTTGCTTTTCGCATAAATACACTTGACACCTTCTCTTTTCCTTCTATAGGTTAAATAGTAAAGAGAATAGGCTCTCTAACGTTAAGTGGCAACCAGTCTAGGAGAAGGAATTCGCTAAGTTCAAAACATTTCAGAAGGCAACAGTAGACCTTTCCCAAGAGGACATGGCAATTCACAGAAAATAATTTTTAAGAATGTTGTAAATCATGACCACCTTCGACCTGAAGGGACATGGTATAGCAAAAAGTTTAATATCAAAGGTAGAAGAAAAGTGAAACAAAAAAAATCAACTACAAATATTTGCCAGGTCTCACTGAACAATCCACAAAAATGTGGATTCACTCAAGCAAATGTAAGTATCTGAATGGGATCGTCATCAGAATAGTGAAATTGCTCTATTGACCACTAAAATATTACCATGGACCATCAATTTCTATTTTTTGTGTGGACCCAAAAGCCCATGTGGATCCGTGTTGAGGACCACTGATCTAAACTGTCATTTGTATAGCTACTCGGAATGGTAAATCAAAGAGCCGTGGTCGAATTCCAGTTGAGTTTGTCACACGCACATACGCACAAATATGTTGACACACACAAAAAAAATTACCTGCTCTCTTTTTTTGCTGAATAATGCAAATAATTTTTCAGTGATTCTTACAAAAAACTGTGTCAGATGGCTAAACGTCTTATCTGAAAACATTGAAAAATGAAACTCAAATAGTTTAGTGGTTTTTCAGATATTAAACATTTTGTGGGTGGGCAATTCTGCCTTTAGAGAAATTTGGACAATTTTGCTGATACATTCGTTATAATATCCTGCGCCAGATGTAGTTTCACCCAATACCGCACGTTGCTACAAATCCCAAAACATTAAACAAAGAAACTCTAGGCATGATCTTAAAAAGCCTCGTCAGATCAAAACGTTCAACTGGATGCCATGCATGGCGCCAAACTCGTTCAGAAATTATCTAAGCTGTCATTTGTATACAACTATTTTCTCAGATTAATGATTAAAAGTATCTTAATCAAGAGGTTGATCTTCCACACTGCTTCGAAAGAAAGGTTAGGAAGGAAGCCACCATCAAGACTGGAACGACAGACAGAGAGGGTAAGACCTCCTTGAGTCATGATACAGTCTTTGACTGTAAGCGACGTTTCGAACTCTCTGCGTTAGCAGAGGAACCCGACGAAGTTTTGCCGAAGGGCAAGGTTTCGTCCGGGGAGGTAGATAGGGCCTGAACCCGTCTAGGCGGGTTCAAAGGCTATATTTTTTATTAGCCTACGGGCTCGGAGATACCCACATTAAACCGGCCTTGTGCCACATTCAGTCCTCGTGGGTGGATCGATAAATACTAAGACTGGAACGAGCGATAAGTTACACTGACTTGAGAAAACTATAATCCTTGAAAAATTGTTTGAATATAAAAATTTTATAAATGTCGAAAGAAGTTAGTACTGGCTACTCGGTCAATGAAAGCTGAATGTTTCATTTTAAAGAAACGGCTTATTATTATTATTATTATTATTAAAAATGTGTGTGTTGTAATAGATAGCAACTCAGAATGAGAAATCAAAGAGCTGAGGTCGAATTCCATTTGAGTTTGTCACACGCACTTACGCACAAATATTTTTCGCAGAAATTCATCTCATTTTGTCAATCTATGGGTTAAATAGCAGAGCAGATTTGACTCTTCAGCCTGACCGGTCTGGGTGAAGACAACTCTGAATTCAAAACCGTATGATCCTTTGGAATCACTTTTTTGGTAAAGAATAGTATCCGGAAGTCACCCCTCCTGCTAGAGTTAGGGACTAAGACCATCGGCAGCAGGAGGTTGAATGTAAAATGGCAGAATTTAAAAGAACATGGTTTCCAAAAGAACTATAATGGTGTCAATCTGTTTGACCTTAATTTATTCCTATTCATGAAACTATTTACCACGAGTCAGATAGTAACTGTGTCCCAATATAGACGCAATCAGAACCCCTATAATGAACCCTGGGGTCCTATTGACCGACCATTTAGTATTATTCCGATTAAAGAAAAAAGCCATGTTTGACACCAGATATATTCCAGAATGCTATTCGAAATTTACATTAAAATTGAACATGGTCGTTTATCTGTTGAGATGAATTGTTCGCCTAGTGAATGAAAAAAGTATAGCTTTATTCTGTTTTTTGTTTTTGTTTTTAAAATTACGTGTTTTAAAATATGGTAATAAATTATCTACATAACATGGGAGTGCCAATTAATCGGATAAGCATTAACACACACACACACACACAATAACACACACACACACACACAAAAAAAAACAAACAAACACATACACACATAATACCATTGTTAAAAAATGCAATACCAATTTTCTAATGTGCAATTGATTCATTTTAAATGTTTCACTATTACTAGTCATTATTTCGAACTTCAGGGAAAAGTGACTCAAATTTTCAAAACTGCGTGAGTACAAAATGAACATAAACAGCCTCAGTCACACAGACCTAGATGTACTACTCACAAAGTGTGTGCATATGCATGAGTGCTGGTGTGTCTGTATGCGCGGGTGTGTGTGTGCGTATGTATATTTGCATGTGTTTGTTTTGTATGTGTTTGTGCATCAGGTATCTAATATGTCTCTCTCTCTCTTCTCTCTCTCTTTCTCTCTATAAGAATAATAATGATTCTAACCATTTTTTCTTCAGTTTACAATAATGGATGCCCCCCAATTTATATCCGAAATATCTTCGAATGCAAAACAGAGATGTAACGAAACGCAAAATGCTTCCCTGGTAAGTAATTCTATGTTTCCTTATTGTATGGATTCTACAAATTCCCTAATGATCCCCCCGATTAGATATTCTCATGGACTTTTTACAGGTGGTAAAATGAGGTTTTCCTCTTCCGCAGTATGGTTGTTAGAATAGAAAATAATTAATAAAAATAAATATATTTAGTAGATAGATTTAACAGCCATTTTCTAAAATATCCAGCAGAAAATGTTTTATTCTACATGCTAAAATTATATGCAGGTATTAAAGAAAAATCATTTAAAATTACATTGATAATTCTATTATAATTATACTTGTCTTTCTCTTCGTTAGTCCACACGGCCATTAAGCCCTGCC